TTTTGTGTCTCATCAAATCCCTCTAAGTCTCAACGACACCTTTTGGCATGTATAAGCCGCCATACAAGTTATTTATAGGCATAGTGATTAATACTTAAAAGTGTATTTTTATTAAAGTTTTATATCATAATTTGCATTTGAAATATCAATAACTTCTTAAATAAAACATGTTTTATAATAACAAGTTTGATACCATAAGATACCTTTAATTTATGATAAATGTTCATCTTAAATGCAGGTCTCTCACATAAATGAAAGGATTTATTGATGAGTTGAAGTACTAAAATTGAAAGGACAAATAGAGGGTCAAACTTAGAAAAGAGATCTTGGTTCAACCAAAACTAGAACACTGTTTGGTCATTGGGTCATATCTGGAGCTATAGATCTTGGACTCGGGATTGGCTCTATATGAATAGAAAGCTAAGACATATGTCTAAAACATTCATGAGGAAGGCAAGACTCAATTTTGTTGTTTAAGAGTCCAAATCTAAACAACAATAAAGAATAAATCTATCTTGCAACTCAAATACTATTTAATATTTAGCTCATATTTTGAGTTCTAGAAGTCCAAATGATCTCAACCTTTTTTTACTAGAAATTTGAGATAATTTCCTAGAACTTTTATGATTTAAGTTTGTTCGAATTCTGATATTAGCAATGATATTTTTGGCAGACAAGAAGATAAGGATTGTCACCAAGTCAAGAGTTGGTCACCCACTCAACAATTAGTCATCAAATCAATAGTTTTAAATTTTGACCTATAAAAGGAGGTATTTTCCATGTATTTAGGCATTTTGGCTTTCAGATAAAAATCATGTTCTTTATTTCTTTCTTTGTATTTTTATAATGTTTGAATTTTATTTCATGTTATATTTTCCTTAATCTCTTGTTTATGCTTTTCATTTCCTTTATTATACTTATGTTCTTATGTTATTTATTTATATTTCTCTTCTTCACTATGTTTAGTTTAGTTTATTATGTCAATGTGAAAAGGTTACATTAATGGTGTAAGAATAAGTATAGTATAAACCCAACATGGACCTTAATATTTGATACTAATATATTTGTATTTGTTATCTTATTCATTTTTAATACTTTGCTTGTTAACTGGCTAATCTAGATTTATGTTGTATAACACTTAATACAACAAATACTTGGCAATGCAACGATACTTTTTAAAGAAGTTTTTTCCGTCTCATACAACGAACTCTTTCAAAAGACAAATTATCACTTTCACTCAAAAACCAAGATAAATATTTTACCACTGTTGGGATTAGTATCGAGACTTACTTAATACTTGCCCTCATCATGGTTTTAAAATATAAAAATTAGTTCTATATTTTTATAAAGGGTTAATATCTAGAGATAGTCAAATGGTTGAATTGATATGCAATGAAACTTTTGAAGATAAAGACCTTAATAAAGCAATGGAGTACATAGACCTGCTACCTAAAAATGCTTAAAATTAGAACACTACAGGCACTTATGAGTCATCAAGTAAAACTCAACCTTATATATCTAATAGAGTATGTACTACCTTAAGGAAGATCATGACCTTCAAGTCAAGTTTGCATATTTGATTAGAAAAGTCAAGACACTAAAATTAAAAAAAAAAGTGTTCAATTAAAATCTGTTCAAGACATTGTGTGTTAAATCTGTGAAACTAATGAATTCTCAATTAATGATTGTCCAACTTTGTCTTCTTTTAGAGAATGCCTCTATGAATAAGTTTATGCTTTAAACAGCTTCTAAAGGCACAATCATAACTCATACTCACAAACATAAAATTCTAGTTGGAGAAATCACTCAAATGTCAGTTAGAAGAGTGATGACAATAATGTATAAAATTCAGAGCCATCATTTCAAGTATACCATAATTTTCAAAATTGTCATAGATATGTACCTCCTTATGCTCCTCTTCCTATAAGAAATCTTGAGGAAATATTACATACATTCATTGAAAAACAAGAGACAATCAACACTCAAAATGCTCAAACCATGGCAGATCTAAAATATGTTTTTGTAAAGTTTATATCTACTCTCAGTTTTCAAGAGAAAGGTAAGTTTCTATATCAACCATAGCAAAATTTCAAGAGGCAATACAATGCAAATATAAACAGTTCTGAAAGTCAACGCATGGATCAAATCATTTTTATAGAAAATACCATAAAAAATTATAATATAAATAATAATATGTTTTCAATATTAATAATAATATTTTCTTTGAAATTTATGAATTATTTTATTAATAATATTAATGATAATAAAAATAATAATATTTTTAAAACAAATAATAATATTTAAAATCATATGATCTACGAACATTGGGTCTTGATGAAGGATTAAATAATAATTAGGTCATGACGTTAAACCCATTAATCACGGGTCCTAACATCGAACTCATTCTTCTTGGGTCCAACGGCATTACACAAGTGCTAGGTGTTCCCAAACAGGGAGCAAGGATGGGTCACACCCAACACAGACCAAGCGTCATACATGTGTTGGGTTGTGCTTAGTCTCTAGTAGGCAACCCAAGCGTTAAGTGTGCGCAATATTGAGGCAGGACCCAAGCATCATGTGTGCTCTTTAAGCAGGAGTCCAAACACTATGTATGCATTATAACCAGGATCCCAAGCTCTTTGTGGGTGGAGGGGGTGTGCCTAGCTCTCAAGCAGCAACTCAAACGCCACATGTTCCTACATTGGTTTTTTTAATAATAATAACGGTTTTTTTAAAATTTATTAATGATGATAATGATAATGATGATAATAATAATAATAATAATTAGTTTTACTTTTTAAATCAAATCTATGGTTATTTTTTAATATTAAGAATATTTTTTTCTAATTTAATAATTTTTTTTAATAATATTTATAACATCAAATATAATATTTTTAATATTAATACTTTTGATTATAGTAAAAATAATAATAGTTATAACACAAATAATACTATTTTTAATTCCAAAAATATTGAGAAATCAAATAATAATATTTTTTTATATTAAAAATTTGAATTCTTATAAAAATAATAATAACACAACACCGATAATAATTTTTTTATATGAATATGTTGAATTATAAGAATAATAATAATATTTTGATATGAATACTTTGAATAATAAAAAAAATATGTTTTATATGAATATTTTGTATTATAAGAAAATAATAATAATATTTACAATGTAAATTATAATATATTTTTTATTTTTATAGATTGAATTGTTGAATTTTTTAAAAATGCTATGTCGTGGGCTTACTTTTTATTTTATAAAAAAGTATGATAAAATTTATAGTATAAATAATAACATGTTTTTAATATTAATACTCATATTTTCTTTGAAATTTAATAATTATTTTAATAATAATAATATTTTTAAAACAAATAATAATATTTAATAACTCAAAATTCAGGAATATAGGGTCTTAATAAAAAAAATCCAATAATAATTGGATTCTAACAGTAGATTTATTGATCTGGATCCTAACTTCAAATCTATTCTCTTTGGGTCTAGCGGCATTACCCAAGCTTTTTAAATAGAACAAGGTCTGGGTCACGTGTCACAGGAGTGTATTCATTACTAAGACAGGAGCCTCAACACCATGTATATGCTTAATCTGCCCAACACACAGGCAAATAGCCTAAGTGCTCAAGTTTAAACAAACCCAGTACCAGGTGGCTGCAGCATGAGGTGCCGCTAGGGGGGGGG